ATCATTTTGCTCCTCAGCATACATTATACATTCATGCATTCTGCATTCTACGAACCTTTTTTGGGATCATCTGCAGTTTTATAAGCATGATGGAATCCACCCCAATAATGTAAGTACATGCAAACTTTCTGCTAACATCTTTTGCAAGCTCCATCAATCTACTAGTAGTTGACTATATAAACTAATGTGATTTGATTATGCTCACGTTTTGGTACTTGTAGCACCCCCTAGAGGCTGCTGCAGCCCGAGTTTAATTCCTGGGCAGGGAACCAACCCCAGCCACTGGGGTTGCGTGCAACAGTGCACTCTCAGTGCCGGTCCCAAGCCTGGATAAAAATTGGGGAGGGTTGCGTCAGGAATGGCATCCGGGCAACCGCTGATCCACTGTGGCAACCCCTAACGGGAGCAGCCGAAAGAGGAACAATAACACCATTTTAAATTATCGACCAGCTATTACTCACTCCCCACTGGATGCATTAGAAATACTAAAGCTTAGAGGGTCACACCTAAAGGTTTAGAGCACATTCCTGTAAAAAGAAATTTTATCCATTATGTTGATCAAGCCTTTATTACTGATATATACTACTCTTATTTACAGAGAGTTTGTTCCATTCCCAATCCTGATATTACACTGGACCATTTTCTACTTTAATTCTAAAGCAGAAAAATACACCCGATTATGAAAGATTTAGAATAAAAAAATAGATCAAATCCTTGGTGGTGAACTTGCTGGTGAACTTCATTTTAGAGACATGTGGGTGTGGCTAGAACCACTGGCTCTCATGTGGACTGACAGACATTCAGAATAAATCTCCATCTCCAGAATAAATGCATTAACTTGATTCGAAAAGCAAAAACAAATTTCTATCTTACTTCTCTCTCAGTTTTGGCAAAACTTAGGCAGGCTTGGTATTAATTATTATCCTTGATAATTTTTTGTCTTGTCCTTCTGACAATTTTTTACAAAAAAAAAAAAAAAGCTGCAATTTTAACAAGAGAGTGTAGACTCTGAGTTAATACATACAGTGGATATATGGTGTCTACAGTCTCTTGTTAAAATTGCAGCTTTTTTTTTTTTTTGTAAAAAATTATCAGAAGGACAAGACAAAAAATTATCAAGGATAATAATTAATATTGCAATAAAAGCAATGCTGAAACATTTTACTTTGCTTACCTTTTACCCTCTACCTGTTTTGTTTGACATATTTCTTTAAGAGTTTCATTATTCTATCAAACTGCCTATACCTTTTTTTAGCTCATTTTTTTAGTTGATTTAGCTGATTAATTAACTATATTGTCTATAGTGTGAAATTACTATTTGGGTACCTTAATATATTATGTTAGCACAGGTTAAATGACTCTATTTTCAGACATTTTATCCCATCCAACACTGCAGCTAGTGTATAATGAGGGATCTATACTGAGGTAGACATATAGCAATGGAAAGCAATGAGCCATACCCAACTTAACTTATCTTAATGAGTCATAAGGATTTTTGCACAGGATACCTGCACAGTCAGGTTTTACCTTAAAAATAAATACAGGGACAGAGATAGACATTTACTGTATAGTGTAGGTATATGAAAGTGTTTTGTCTTTTATAATTATGAAATGTGTTTAGGCTTTGATTGTTTAGCCTCAGTTCCATTTCCTAAATTGAAAATGCTTATTTTTCCTCAAGAGGGAGTAGTGCTAAGCATTATTAATAGATAAAGTATGCATGTATACAGTATAATGTGTTAATAATAAGCTGTATCACAAATAAATACACACTGTCCTACAGTTTATCATAGCAGCAATTTTACAGAGATTCGTTAACCCATTTCATTACTGCAGCCTTTAGCTTTTTTCATTTCTGAATTTTTTCAAACATGCTTGGATAGTTCTTTGTATCTGTTCACAATGCTGTAGGAAGCAATAAATACTGACCCAAGGCAGGATTTTGCTTCCCTTCTGGCATGAAATCGTTGGATTGATCTTTGCATATGTCTGTGCACCCACTGCAGCAGTCAACACACAGATCACTGGGGTTAGAAGATACTGTGTACATATGTGTTAAAGATGTGACAGATTACAAATAATTATTTGAATTGAACAAATACTGTGCTCTAAACAGATAGAAATAGAGGTACCAACAGGAGGCACACTGTTAGTTTTCTTTTTTTTTTTTTTTGGAAAGCTTGCCAGGAAGGTTCATAGGGCAAAGGTTCATCTGGTTGAGACTAGAGGTGTATGTCAGCATGCAACATAAAAGTAGAGTAAGCAGGATGTTTTGGGTGTGGGTATGAGCAGTCATATATGAAATATGTGCGTAGCTGGACAGTGCATTTACATAGTAATTGCCTATCAGGTCATAGTGCTTGGAATTAGGCTCCTGGTTTGTTTATACATATTTTGGGAATAGAACCAACTAAATATTTTTTAACAAATCACTGACCGGTACAAACAAAAATAATAATTGCATGACCAGCCCTGTCAACATCACCAATTATGAACTGGAGTGATAAGAAACTGTCACAGACAGAATTCACAGACAGTTCTGCCATTTTTACCTGTGGAGTTCTCAGTGTTCTGTGTTTTCTGGGAGCATAGTGGTAGGATTCCTATTTAATAATAATAATAATAATAATAATAATAATAATAATAATAATATGGAAACAGTACAAAACACACTGATTTGAGAAAAAGTACTGCTACTGTACTAATAATTCACCTGAGTATAAGTAAAAGTAGTGATCAACTAAGAGGAAAAAAGTTACTGAATGATGTCTACAATGGACACAACTAATTTGAAAATGTTCTACTTTCTATTCTGTTATTTATTTATTTTTTTTGTAATAACCATGACACATTTCATGAACATAGACCAAATTTATTTTGACAATATATACTATATAGCCAAAAAGCATCTGGACACCTGACCATCACGTCCACTTGTGCTTTTTGAACATCCCAAAACTATGGGCATTAAGTGGAGTTGGTCTACCCTTTGCAGCTATAACTGCCTTGACTATTCTGGGAAGGCTTTCCACTAGGTCTTGGAGCATGACTGTGGGGATTTGCCCATTCAGCCACAAGAGCATTAGTGAGGTCAGACAGTAATGTAGGGTGAGAACACCTGGCATGCAGTCTGCATTCCAATTCATCCCAAAGGTGTTCCGTGGGGTTGAGGTCAGGGCACTGTGCTGGCCACATTCAACACTAGTGTTCTTCAACACTAACCCTGGCAAACAATGGGCCTCATTCATCAGTCCTTGAGTAAAGTTGTATGTCAATGTTTGCAAACCAAACCAAATAAAAAGGTTTATGCCAGATTTACAAAAGTTTCATAAATGCTGTTTACGAAGTGCAATTATCTTTGCATTAACATGTGTACCTTGATAAATGGCAATCACCTGTAAATTACCAGGCATGTGCACGCCACAGCTGATTTGTGTTTGGTGATGCCCACAAAATTCCATAAAAAGGCAAAGTTCACACAGCGGAAAGCACAAAATGGATACTAAATGGCCAAAAAAGAGAAGAATTTCTCTGAAGCAGATGTTTAAGTATGTATGTCTACACGAATAAAAAAATATATATTATTTAGCATCATATCCAGTGGAGTCACAGCACCTGGCCAAAATATGGAGAGAAATTATGTATGTGAATTTGGTGTCACCAGCCAGCACAATAAAAGTGACGTCAAAAGAAAATGTTTTGACACACAAACTGAGTTAAAAAAAATAAGTATTACTGCTAATCAACAGAGTTTCTCTGGTACTGGGGGAGGCCAAACCATGACAAAACTTTTTATGCTGTGGCAAAAAGAACTGACTTTTAAGGCAGCTTTCATTCTCCAAAAAAAAAAAAAAAAAAAAAACATACCGGACTCTAAATATCCACTTCCTTCTTAGGGCATCATGTGCTAACTCTTCTAGTAATATCAGTTCTGCCATTTGCACCATGACTTACCTAAGATTAAGACTGAAGAATCAGGGATATTGAAGAATCATTCACACCACGGTAGCAACCCTAGCAAGACATGTAACTTTCCACAAATTAAAGTCTGTGCCATACCCCATCTCTTTAAGCCAAATACTCAAACAATATCAGACTTGTCAGACTGCTTGTGACTGAGAACTACTAGCAAATCTAATGCATAAAGCAAAAAAAAAATCTTTCTACAAGTGGTAGAATTTGTTTAAATATGGGTGGAAAAAACATATGGTGGTAGTGGAGGTCCTTGCATCTGTTCTTTCCTAAGTTTATCAATAGATTGCTGTTCCATGTTTTAAGTGTATAAAACACGGACCCATTGTACAGCTGTCCCCAGTGAGACTGATGCATTTCCATTATTTTGCCATCCTAACTATGGTGAAAAGACATCTCTGTTATATTTATTGTTATGTTATTTTTTAAGCAAAGTTTAAATGAAAGGTAAAAATAGGCAATGCAAGGTAATGTTAGTATTTATATGTAGCTAATGCTAGCTACCATTATTTTAAATATAAACATATAAATATATAATCCATGTAGCTTAGTTTTTTCTTGTTTTTCAGGACTGTGACCTGTTGATTCCGTCATTGTTGTTCTTGTTGTTCATTTTACCAGTTTTATATTGTGCAATCTTTCATTACAATTTGATATCCTATATCTTATAATTATTATATACACTTCAAACTTTTTGTGAACTGAGATAACATTATTGCTTGAAACATATTGTATTTTATCATATTCTTTTGATTTTATCATATTTTTTTTATCGTGATTTTAAACTGTACAATTGCAGCAGTGGTTTTTATAGTAATATACTGATACCAATGTTGTTCTTCTTTCGGCTGTTCCTGTTAGGGGTCGCCACAGCGGATCATTGGACTGCATAATTGATGCATAATTGCATAATTGGCAGAGTTTTTATGCCGGATGCCCTTCCTGATGCGACCCTCCACAGTTTTATCTGGGCTTGGGACTGGCACGGGAAATGCACTGTCTTGTGCAACCCCAATGGCTGGGCTTTGTTCCCTGGCCAGGAATCGAACCTGGGCCGCAGTGGCGAGCATGCCAAAGCCTAATCACTAGTGCTCCAGGGACCCATACTGATACCAACGTAATCCTGTAAAAATACAGTTTTTCATTCTTTAAAAATGCATAACAATGTGACAATACTGTAAACAAATATTACAGTAATAATGCTGTAAATATTAAGATACTGTAGATTTACAAGGTAATTTTTTTTAGTGGTTGTGCTTGCTAAACACTATAGCAATATGCAGCCACCCCCATCCCCAAGCATGCACACACACACACACACAAGAAAGAAAAGATCAATTCACTATCCATCAATATGGTTATCACTGAAGACATATTTTCTTAGACAGGATGTGTGTTTCCCCCACAAGAAATAAATAACACTGATCTGCAAAGGGGTGAAGCTCAGGACATGACTGAGCTTTCCAGTTTCTGTTCCATTGTTTGAGTATTTGGATTAAAGAAATGGGGTATGGCACAGACTTTAATTTGTGGAAAGTCAATAGCAGTTAACTTTGGTGTTTGCTATAGTGCATTAGGTTAAATGTTAATGGGCAGCAATGCTCTGCAGATTTTATCCGTGACCTTCTGTGTAATTATGTAGCCATCACAAGCATTGTAACCATGGTAAATTCAGATTAGACTTTAGGATTTGGGAGTTTATTTACTCATTGGATTTTTTGGGGGGTATTCTTTATGGAACAGCTATCTGTATTGCTTGCTTTCCTCTGTATTGTTTGTTTCTAATGTTTCTTTGCATCACATCTATTGATTATAGATTAGATAATAACCCCAATTTGAACTATTTGACCATGAAATACATTCTGGTATTCAGCAAAAAAAGACCTTGGTGAGTTTTATTGTCCTTGTGGTAAATTAACAATTTCTAGAAGCTAAACAGTTGATATGCATGAACTCCTTTCTCACCCTTACTGCTGGAACCTGCAGTTAGTAATGATTGAGCGCCATCTAGTGAATAGTGAATTTTACTGATACAAATTTACATATTTCAGTGATTTTTTTTTAAAAACAACGTTATTGGATTTTAAAGTTTTAATGCTTCTGTCTTCTTTGCTTGCTTTCCAGTGCCTGTATCTCCAAAAATTATTGAAACTGGGTTTGACTTCTGTTTTTGCTGTAAATAATGTTAATTAAGAAGTCTTTGAAATGTTAAGGGATACATCAGTTCTTAAGACTGATGCTGATGCAAAATATGCAGAGTCTTTAAAAACTTACTGTTAGGGATTATTCTGACACTTAATCTTACATACAATAAATATAATTCCCCCTGAGAGATATTACCTGAAGTGCAACTTGAGGTGGCGCATCAAACACCATCATAAAGTGGTAAGTACAGCGTTATTAATTAATTAATATATAAAATGCTCAATTGTAGTCATATAATTTAAGTTTATTGATTTTACCATTGTCCAGAGCAGATTTTGGAGCTATTAGTCATTACTGAATAAACAACTATTTGCTAGCTAGCTGGAAACAGCAGTCAAAATTTACACTGAACATATATTTTGAGGAAAAAAATCGCTGTTCTACATGATTATGAAATTTGGCTAGTGTTAGCTGCTTTGGTTTATGTCATCACTCCTGTTACTAGCTTCAGGTGCATGTTGGAAAGGGCGTCCATATTAATGAGAACTGACGGTCATGTCCAAAACTGTCCATCACCTCATCAACCATGCCCTTCTAATCATCATTTGATAACTCATATCAAATGAACTTATCATAAAGAAGAAAATACTGACAGAGATAACGTGTTTAACTGAACTTGTAAAAATGATAGAACACTATTCCCAAAAATAATTTGTGTAGCTGTAACTTATATTTTAAGTTTGGCTCATGTTCCCTTCACCAAAATGGGAATGGGTGGGGTTAAAAATTGTACTGCTACCAGCCACTAGAGGGCATCAGAGACATTTTGGCTTCACTTTTGAACCCCTTGTTACAACCATAGATATACGTACCTGTAATGCTATGGAGGCCTTCTCAGGCAAATCTGTGGCCACCCTGCACAGGCTTTTATAGCGCAGGGCTCCCGTGGAGGTAATCAACATAAACTCGCCAAACCTGGCCTCCCCCATTCATAAGGCCTCTGGTTGCCTCACTGTGCTTGTGGACATAGATCTGTGCCAGGTACAGAGCAGTGACACGCTACTCTGGTTGGTATTTTAAGGAAAGCAGTATTTAGAGAAGATTTATTGAGGTTCAGAATTTAGAGAAGATTTATTACCGAGATTTAGGAACAGAGTAGATGCCTCGAGACTCTCTTGCTCTTGCTAATCTCTTGCTAAGATTAGTATTTGGGAATTAGTGAGAGAAAGAGCCATCCATTATTATTGGGTGTCTGTGAACACTGCCACCTTCGGGAACATTTTGAGTTTGTTCCCCGCCTCACCACTGAGCCGGTGTGTTCAAGCCATTGGCTCTGGTGTGCTCGCAGAGTCACATAAGCACTATCGCACTCATACCTGCTATCCCCCTAGTTGGCCCAGTGATTAGTGCGACACATATATATTGTCCGTTCAGACAAGTAGGCTTCATTCGGCACTTCCTCTTTGGCGCATCACCCCCTGTAACAGTATGTCTGCACCAGAAAAGGAACCAGCAAATCTGGAGCGGATAGGGGGACTCGTGGCTGGCCATGTCACTGCCCTGGCGAAACATGAGCAGGCATTGGCAGTGCTGTTTACAGAGATTCAAGGAGTCTCTGAACGCGTCACACAAATACAGACCATGCTACAACCCCAACCTGCTTCCTCCATGGAGTCAAGTTGTACATCGGCTCATCAGTCGACTCTTCAGGGCCAATCCATGTTATTACCTCCCTTTGCACGTGCAGAGACAAGACTACTGCCTCCTCAGCCCTATGCAGGAGAAGCAGGCAGATGTACCTTTTTTATAATGCAGTGCTCACTGGTGTTTGAGATGCAGCCGACTGCTGTGGAACTGGTGGATTTATCCCGCATGCCCCGAGATTATTGGGATCTCCATGAGGTTGTTTCCAAGTGCAAGGCCCAAACACTTCCACCCCATAGGTCCTTTGATTGTGCTATCAACTTGCTTCCAGGAGCAAGCTCCGCTTAGGAGTAGGTTGTTTTCATTGTCGCCCCAGAGCACAGTGGAGGAGTATATCAAAGAGGCTTTGTCCCTGGGGTTCATCCGCCCCTCCAGGTTGCTGGTGGGGCTGGGATTCTTTTTGTTAAAAAGAAAGGGGGGGACCTGCACCCTTGAATAGACTACTGTGGCCTTAAAACTGTCAGAAGGACCGGTACCCCTTGCCCTTGATGAACTCCACCTTTGAATCCTTAGAGCAGGTGAGGATTTTCTTAAAACTAGATTTACGCAGCATGTACAATCTAATCCGCATCAGGGCAGGGGATGAATGGAAGACTGCCTTCATCACGCCATCCAGGCACTCCGAAAGTCTGGTGATGCCCTTTGGCCAGATGAATGCTCCTGCGGTCTTTCAGCATTTAGAGAACGAGGCCCTCCAAGAGCCCCTGAATCATTATGCCTTTGTCTATTTGGACGACATTTTGAGTTTTACTAACTCCTTGGAGGAACGTGTTGTTCACATGTGTCGAGTTCTGCAGCTCCTTCTGCAGCACCAGTTATAGGTCTAACTTGAGAAGTCACAATTGCATGTGACCACCATCTCCTTCTTGGGCTTTGTGGACAAGGATGTCCAGGCCTACATAGCAGCCTGTCAGGTTTGCACCTGTAACAAGGAGATGGTGCCTGCTGGGTTTGCCACCTTTTTTCTTGGGCTTTGTGATCTCCCACGGGGCCCTGAGTACAGACCCTGCCAAGATAAGGGTGTTATGAGAATGGCCATAACCCATCTCAGTCCGGGCGGTACATTGCTTTCTGGGATTGCCAGCTTTTTCCGATGGTTCATCCGGAATTGTAGTACTCTGGCAACTCCCCTCAGGGCCCTGACCAAGAAGACCCCAGGTAGTTTTAGGTGGACTTTGGAGGCGCAGCAAGCTTTCGAAGCCTTAAAGGGGAGATTAACGTCAGCTCCCATGCTGCAGATGACGGATCCTGATGTGCAGTTTATAGTGGAGGTCAACACCTCGGATAAAGGAGTGGGCGCCGTCTTCTCCCAGCATGCGGATCCCGACCAAAAGTTGCAACCATGTGCATACTTTTCCCACTGTCTGACCCCAGTGGAGAGTTATTATGACATGGGGAACTGGGAACTACTGGCCGTAAAGTTGGCCCTACAGGAATGGAGGCACTAGCTGGAGGGAGCCAAACAAGAGTTCCTCATTTGGATGGACCATGAAAACCTGGCCTACATCCAGGGGGCCAAGCTCCTGAACCCCCTGCAGGCCAGGTGGTCTTTATTTTTCAAGCACTTTGATTTTGTGTTGTCCTACAGGCCAGGTACCAAGAACCTGAAGCCGGATGCGCTCTCCAGGCAATGGGACCCACCATCACGGGAACCCGCCCACAAGCCTATAATCCCCTCCCCCGGATAGTGGCTTCACTGTGCTGGGGCCTAGAGGAGGCCATCCATAAGGTGCTCCATCGGGAGCCTGACCCGGGTGGCGGCCCTCCAGGAAGGCTTTATGTTTCATCGGCCATGAGACCTCAGGTTCTGTCTTGCGGCCATACATTCCCTTTCAACAGACATCCCAGGGAAGTCAGAGCCCTGGAGTTTCTATGCCAACGCTTTTGTTGGCCCAACATGGACAAGGATGTGCAGGCCTACGTAGCAGCCTGTGAGGTTTGCACCCGTAACAAGGAGGCCGCGACTGCTGGGTTTGCCGCCTTTTGGGGGCTACGGTTAGCATGTCCTCGGGTTTCCACCCGGAGTCTAACAGCCAGACAGAAAGGGTCAACCAGTATCTGGAGCATTGCCTCAGATGTCTGGTCTCCTCCAACCTCTCCACATGGGCTAGGCATTTGATGTGGGTGGAGTATGCTCATAACACCCTGTGGCACTCTTCACTGGGCATGCTGCCATTGAGTGCCAGTTCGGCTATTCTCTGCCCATCTTTGCTGAGCAGGAGGAGGACGAGGGAATTCCCGTGGCAGAGCA